GGCGGGGCCGGGGGCTCCCAGGCTCTGCGCATCTGCCGGGGCGTCTGTGAGCCGTACCTGGTGCGCGCTGGCTCTGCTTCTCCGTGGAGTGATTGTCCTACGCCAGGTCAAGAGGGACCGGGAAGGTCCATCGGGGCTGCCGCCTGCCATCCCACAGCCCGGTGCTGACACCCGGCGGAGCTCGGTGCCCGGTCCTGGGGGCCGAAGCCCAAGTCCAGGGGTGGCAGAGCCCGTGTGTGGGGAGGCCGCTTCCTCGTCCCGGGCGGCTCCTTCTTGCTGCGTCCTCGGGTGGTGGAGGGCGGGGAGCTCTCTGGGGTCCGTGATGAGGACGCGGATCCCGTCCCTGGGGCTCCACCCTCAGGACCTCAGCGCCTCTAGAAGGCCCTGTGTCCTGACACCGTCACGTTGAAGATTAGACTTTCAACACGTGCGACCTTGGAGAATGACCGTATTCAATGTGTGGCAGTAGTTCTTGTGTTCAGATTTCCCTGTTATTATGCAACTGTAGATTTTCAAATCATCCGTGACCCCCTTCGATAGACACGGATACCGGGTGCCCCAGGATCAGACTGTGGGACCAGACTGAAATGTACGGAAGTTCGCACCCTGCAGCCCTAAGGCCCGGGAGCCTCCAGCTTGAGGGGAGCCGAGGCCCTTTCTTGTGGGGACCAAGAATGTGTCACGGTCTGCATTTTGTCCTCTGAGGCGGCTTCACCCACCCAGAGCAGATCCACGCCCCCAGTGCCCTAACTTCCTCCCTCTGAGCCCCTAAAGGCACCAGCCTTTGGAAGAGATTCAGAACCCGAACGTCAGCAAGGACCGTCTCCTTCTGATCTGCAGTTCTCGTGGCTTTCCTGTAAGGGCAGCGACAAATTAAATAAACCGTGAGAATCCATCCCTCACCCTGCCCCTCCTCAAACACACCACACACACACACACACACACACACACACACAAACTAGAGCTAGCGGGGCGTGGTGGAGCACACCTGTAATGCCAACACTCAGGAGGCTGAGGCAGGAGGGTCGCCATGAGTTTAAGGCCAGTCTAGGCTACATAGTGACTTCAAGGTCAGCCCGCACTGCACGGCAAGATCTCATTTTGAAACAAACCAGCCAAAGAAAAATAAAGATATAACCAGGCATGTTAAGGAGGCCTGTGAGTCCAACTATTTGCGAGGCTGAAGCCGGGGGAGGCTCAAGTTTGAGGCCCGGGAGCCCATCCCTCTGCTGTTTTGCACAAAGAGAGCCGTAGCGCAAACCTCAACAGCCGAGGGCAGCCTCTTTTCTCCCGCGTTTTGTGTCCTTCCGCTTGTCGTGTGGATATTTTTTCAGCCCTAAAGCCGCCCGGGACTCTCCTAAAATCATTCTACTCGCAGAGCGACGTTTTCGTGCACCTCCTGCAGAGAAATGCATAGTGTTTCTGCAGGACTTTGATCCTCTCTCCCGTCTGCCACACCGTAGAGCCGTTACAGATCCCATCAGCTGGTCGCTGCTGCACGCGTACGATTCGCTTTCTTCTTTTAAAGTAACGTCTCCTCCTCCTCCCTGCCTCCCAGTCTGCCCTGGTGACTCAGGATGAAAATCCTCCGTTGGCTAAAGGACACTCAGCAGTGGGAAAAAGCTCACATCTCTCCAGACCAGGGGGCAACGCCCCGTTCCGAGCATGTTCTCCCCGCAGCGGCCAGCAGGCTGAAGGATGAGCCTGAAAAACCAATCTTTGGTCCTTCACGACCTTACGTAGGTTTAGCGTTTGGGACCTGTTTGTTAATGTTTGCTGTTGCTAACGTGAGGGGGGTTATCCTCCTGGTTTCCTTCTCAGATATTCATTATTCGTGCCTATTAAAAGTTACCGGGCTGGGCACGGCAGTGGATGCCTGTCATCTAGTGCTTTGGGAGGCTGAGGCAGGAGGATGCCAAGTTCAAGCCCAAGCAAAACCCCATGTTAAAATTAAAGGGGGGAGGCTGGGGGATGAAGCTCAGTGCAAAGGCCCTGGGTTCGATCTCCAGTACCACAAATAAATAAATAGTGAAAAAGAAAGCCAAAAGCTACCCATATTTGTAGGTTGATTTTGTATTGTGCTGCTGTGCCCAGCGTGCCGAGTTCCAGAAATCTTGGTGCCATCTGTAGGATTTTCTACATCTGGGATGGGATTATCTGCATACAAAGGCGGCTGGGCTTCTGCTTTTGCTGTCTGTGTGCTTTTCCTTTCTCTCTGTTGCCTCACCGTGTGAGTCCAGTTTCGAGTACTCTCCTGAACGGAGGTGTTGAGAGTGAGGCCCTTGAACTCGCTCCTGATCTGCGAGGGAAATTTCCCTGATCAGTGTGGTGTGGGCTCTGAGTTTGTCACCGATACCCACGGTTCTGTGAAAGTCTGATCCCCATGGATAATTCGTCCCGGGCATTAATCACAAAGGGATGTTGATTATCAATGAATGCATGTTAATAATTCAGTCAGCTGCCCCAGGGGTCTCGGGGGTTCAGTCCATGGTCGGCTGCCCCACGGGTCTCGGGGGTTCAGTCCGTGGTCGGCTGCCCCAGGGGTCTCATGGTGGTTCAGTCCATGGTCGGCTGCCCCAGTGACCTCGGGGGGTTCAGTCTGTGGTCGGCTGCCCCAGGGGTCTCGGGGGGCACCGAAGTCGATGCAGAGGACTTGGAGGAGGACTCTGTACTTTTGATGCTCTCTTGCTTGCAGTAGCATAGGAGCTGAGACCAGAGCTCCCCTGGGGCAGTGGGGACAAACTGGAGCTCAGGTGAGAAGTGGCGGCTGGTGTGAGCGCCGATCGCTAAGAAAAAACCCAGTCTTGCAGATGAGGCCGCTGGGGAGATGAACAGCGGTTCCTGCGGTGATGTCAGGGACCCGAGTATCTCTGAGCTCTCGGCTCCTTTCGTGAGGGGTGTGCCTGGCCGTGGTGTCTCCACCTCCCTGTGTGCTGGTTTTGCCCCAGAGGGTCCCCTAGGAGCCCCACGCGTCTCTCAGCGGCCCTCCCGGGAACGGACTCCCACCCTGGGCGTCCGGGATCACGTCTCGGGGACGGGCCGGTGCCCGAGTAGGCCCACGTCCGCGGTTGCGGGAGGACGGGCCGCGGAGGGCGGCAGGGCATCTGGGCACGGTACCGCGGTGTCCTCACCGTCTGATGTCCTCCTCTCCAGCAGCTCCTACTCGCCCCACGGCGCCTACGCCCAAAGCAAACTGGCCCTGGTCATGTTCTCCTACCACCTGCAGAGGCTGCTGGACGCCCAGGGCTGCCACGTGACGGCCAACGTGGTGGACCCCGGGGTGGTGGACACGGACCTCTACAAGCACGTGTTCTGGGGCACGCGCCTGGTGCAGAAGGCTCTGGGCTGGCTTCTCTTCAAGGTAAGACCCGCGCTGGCTTCTCTTCAAGGTAAGACCCGCGGCGCCGTCTCGTCGGATATAAGGAATTTTCGCGTCAATGGTGGATGCACGAAGCTCAGTAGCAGGGCGGGCGGGACTCACGGAGGAGGAAACAGATCTTTGCCTTCGAGCCCAGGAGGGGGCCGAGCTCGTCCCCGGTCCTAGAGGCCGTAGTGAACAGAAGCTCAGGTCTCCTCCTGGGCCTGCGTCAGACCTCAGAAGAGCCGGGAAACAGCAGAGGGGTCTCCCTGGTTCTGAGGTTTTCTCAGGTTCCCTCAGCTCGCAGGATCTGGGGATAACGTGTGCTGAGCCCCAAGAAGGGCCTCGGCAGAACAGGGACTGGCCGGGCTGACCGAGACGGAATCCCACCGGCAACTTCCGCGGCGCCCTGCTTGGTCCAAGCGCGGTGCTTTGGGGTTCCCGGACCACCGGACTACGCAGCTGGGTTCTCTGTCCAGTTCCTCGCTTAGATAATGGGCAAACTGGGCCCGCCGGAGATTTGCTCACATTTTTGGCGGCGAGTTCTTGGAGACAGGGCCTCACCGTGTAGTCCAGCCTGGCCTCGATCTCACCGAGATCCTCCTGCCTCAGCCTCCCCAGTGTTGGGATCACAGGCGTGCGCCGGCCACCACACCCGGCTATTAACCATTGCTATCGCAGCAAGAATTAATTTCCCACGTCTATGGGAGGATGTTTAATGTAAATTCAGGAGCAGGACCCGGTTCCATCGTCTCTGAGACGGAGCTGAGTCTGCAGGGCTTTTCCTCCCTCTAGATGCTGTCCATCAACTTTTATTCTTCTGTTTCTTGCAAGTCCTGTGCATGTACTGATGTGTTTCTTCCTAATCGTTGGGCGAGCTCTTTGATGTTGATCATTTTTTTTTTCCTCTTACGGACACAGCTCTTTACAAAAAGGCAATCTACAAAAGCAGGGAAAACATTATTTGAAAGCCAAAAATAAAATGAGCTTGCGCCTTCTGCGCTCTTTTCTCCTTTCTGTAAATGCAGCATCCGCCTTCCCCAGAGAGCCGACCTCTGTCCCCCGTGGATTCCTCACGACTTTGGTTCTTGAGACGAATCTGTCTCGCGTGCACGTGCCTCTGAGAACGGACACCCGTGTCTTTTCATCCTCGGGGAAGAAACGACTGCCTTTCTTTGCTCTGCATACGAGTTCCTTCTGGCTCTCCGTACAGTGACGCAGACTAGAAGCTTGCACAACAGGCTTATCCCCCGTCAGTCCTGGGGCATCTGAGACCAAGGCGTCCCTGCCCAGCTCGCTCCACAGGCTCCAGGGGAGACCCTCCTGCCTCTGCCTCCTCCTGGGGCTCCGGGTGGCCCTTGGCTGTGGCCGCATCACTCCGGTCTCTGCCTCTGTCTTTTCCGCTGTGCCGGTGTCTTCCCTTTTTGTGTATGTTTTTCTTTCTTGTTTCCAGTGCTGGTGGTTGATGCTACAGCCGGACCCCTAACTGCATCCCTTCAGATGTGTCTCCTCTTTGAAACGTTCCCGTCACTAAGATGGAGCCAGGGATCTTACTTGCTATCTGGGGACAAACGTCCTTCTTTGCACAACACGTGTGTTAGGATTTGCACATCGTAAGTTCTGTACAACTCTGCGCATCACTCTTACTTTTAAAATAAAGTCTCATCGCTCCATTTTTTCCCCCCAAGAAATGTTGACACAGCTGTGTTCCACACCGGACACCTGCACTTATCGATAAAGTTTTACTGGCTCTCTTCTGCCGTGTCTTTCCATTGAGCTTTTTATTTTTTTGGCGACCGATAAATCACAAAGCATAGATTTCCTTTCTGCTGCGGATACAAAAGTGTCACAGATTTGTTTAAAAAAACCATTGCCAACCTTTGCCTTCCACCCCCGCCCACTCCTCCTCCTCAAATCACCGGGGGAGGCGTCCGCTTTGGCCTCTGAGCTCTCTGCCCCGGCGACCGTTTTCGGAACACGGATTCCACGTCCGCTCTCAAATTCCTTTCCTGCCCTTCGAGGCTGGGTTCGGATGTTCCTCTCTCTCTTCCCGAGCCAGCTCTGACAGCGTTTCTCCTGAGGTGATTTCATGTTTCCAAAGTTGCGGGATTCAGGAGCCTCCTCGTCGTTTTCCTGCGGATTCGTTGGGTGAGATGTTCTTCAGCAAAAAAAAGAAAAAACCTTTCAGAATTTCGTCGCCCACCTCCTCCAAAGTGAACCCCTTTCACCAGAAAGATATCGACCCCCGGGATCCTTAGCGGTGGCCCCAGCTTCCTGGCACAGCCTGTGTTGGCCTTTTCTTCCTTTTCTGCCTTTATTATTCGTCATTCAGGAGGACTTGGGCTCCGGGAGTCACGGTCTCCCGAACGCCGGACCGCGGGCTGAAACCGTGCGGAGAAAACAGCCGCAGGGCCTCGCGTGGGGCGCCGCGCCTTTGGGAACAGGAGACCGCGGGGGATTTTTAAATTCACACCCGCGCACGGGGCCGCAGTCGGGCGCTTTCAAAGGCCACGCGTTGGGGCAACGGGGGCTGCGGTTCCGTCTCGAGCGTGAGAG